TGAGTAGGGGCTGCGGTATTTTTTAACCTGGTGGAACCCTCGGGGTTGTAGTAAGCCTGGGAAAAGGAGGAAACTGCGGCGCGTCTGTTCCAGCACCCTCCAAAGGTGGCCAACGTGAAAAAGATGGTTGGACGCCAACCGTGAAAAAACGGTTGGTGACACTGCCTTGGGTTGTTTCCGAATCTTCCTTCCTTGAAGCATCACACCAAAAAGAACTCATCTCACATGGGCCGTGAGTTAACCAACCAAAACTTGGTGGTTCCCAGCCATCCCCTTCGCCTTTTTTACATCTTTTAGTTGGTTTAGTGGTTGGATTTCCGTATTTCAACCCACAAGTCGACTCTTTTTTAGCTGGGGGAGACTGCCCAGACAAAACTCTCCGCCCCCCCCCGCGCGCCTTCCGCTCTCTGCTTCGAGGCGGCCTCTGGCTTCAGCTGGGTGCCTGTGGCCAAGCCGGAGCTGGGCTACTGGCAGGCGGGAGACTTGGGCCGAGGGACGGCCGGGAATTTCCCAAAGGGTGCCAGGGGTGTCCATCCTACGGGCAGGAGGGGTAAGAGGGCTTGGGACGACTTGTTGGTGGGCGTTTTTCTTTCTTTCTTTTTTTTTCTCCTTTTTTCTTGTTGTTTTTTTCCGGCTTGGCGTGGCTTGGAATGATTCGTGGGTTGGTGGGGCGTTTTGGTTTTGACTTGACGGGGTGTTTTTCAGAGACAAACATAGGAACGAGCCGTAGGCGTCTTGCGGATGTCATTGAACCCGCAAAAATCTACTTGCCGGAATCAATCTGGGCAAGTTCGCACGAGCTCACGTGGGAACACGAGCTCGGCCACCTTGAAGCTCCCCCCAGGGAGTTTCCTGCTTTCTTGGGTTGGAATTCCGTCAATTTTCCCAGACAAGGTATTCCTTTCAAGAGGTCCATGGCAACTGAGACATTTAATCCAAACAATGACCCACCGCATTTCCAATGTGAGATCGATGTTTGGCAGGCTTCCATAGTTGTCCGAACTTTTTAGAAAATCAACGCCTTTTTCATGCCAGCTATTCTTCCATTTGCTTCAGAATATGTTTTTATTTCCCCTGTTCATTTTAAAGGGAATCTATCCTACCGTCACTACCGTTTTTTCCCCCGGGGACTCAAGCAAATGGACGTATGGATTGAGCTTTTCAGCCTCTTGTCAGACTCCATGGCAAGTTGCGCAAGCAACGTCAGGCAACTCTCACTTGGCGGTTGGATTGGTTTGGATTTCGATTTGAGCCCCTGTCTCTTGAGGGATGGGGAACCCCCAAACGCGCTTTTTCCCGCCGATGAGGGAAGCTGAAAGCAGGTGACGGCCAAGCGAAAACGGGTCGGTCGCAAGGGCTCTATAGGGACTCTTCCTGAAAACTGTCAGCGGTATGCTCAGCCCCGAGAAGGACACCATCATTTTCATTTTAATTTTATGTTTTTTTTTTTTTTTTTTTTACTATTTGTTTGTTTGTTTGTTTGTTTGTTTATTTAGATATTTTATTTATTTGTTTGTTTGTTTATGTATTTATTTATTTTTTTGGGGGAAAAGGGGGCTCGGGCGGGGGGGGGGGGAACTCTCGAGCCTATTGCCTTTTTTGGTTTGTTGGGGAAACCCAAAGGAGTTCGTTTTCGAGCAGCAATTGGCGCGGATTGATCCCCCGGCCGTGTGGTTTTAAGAAGAGACACGCAAGGGACGCCCATGTCAGATGTTTTTTTTGGGGGGAAAGGGGGCTCCTTAAAGGCACCCTATAGCCTTTTGCTTCTTTTGAATTTGTTCAGGGTTGTGGGATCAAGGGGTTTCTCCGCACTTCTGTGATACAAGGGAATCCCCCTTTATCTGAAGAAACTAGTCTTTGGGAAGCCCTTTCTGTTGTATCACAGAAGTGGATTCCATTCCCCACAGCCGTGAGTTTGTTTGTTGGGCGGAAGCCCAATGGCGGAGGTTTTCCATGTACAAAAAGACAGGTGCAGATCCACGCGGTGCGTGTGGGGGACACCGTGCTGGAGGAATGCGCCGACGGAGGTGGGAGACGGTTTTATGAGACCCCAGACCCCGTGCGGAGATGGGTCCTTGGGGGGGGGAGCGATTTCTGTTTTTGCAGGGGTCGGACAGAATGTTCAGGGGTCCAAGTAGCAATAGCAGGGACTACATTTTCCGATCTTGGCGGTGCCGGGAGGCACAATTTTCAGGTTCAAGAAACAGCATGCCAACGCCTTCTAGCTTCTCCATTTGCCTCCGGGCCAAGCGTAATCGGACACTATTTTGACCCGCCATGGTTGGGGTTCCAACGTTTGCGGCAGCCCTTTAAGATGGTTTTGACCTAAAGAAAAACTGGGACCCTGGGGGAGAATGGGTAATTTCAGTGGCAGGAAAAATCCAAGACATTCGAAATCACTTGAGGTAATCACCTAGACCCTTGGTGCCTGGGACCCATCTTGATTGAACAGCTTTTCAGGCCATACTGTGGATGGACGAAATCCATTTCGCACCTACTGAAGCCATGGTTGAAACCATAACGTTTGTTGGTATTTACATGGATGGGAATCCAAGTTCTCGGGTTTCTTGGGTGTTTGGGTGCGCTGCATGGATTTCGCCCTTCCATCCACAGTAGCTCACCCTCCCATGGCTCCCATGGCTCGTGGCGCCAGCGCGCGTGTCGCGCGTGTCGCGGCCAGGCTGCCGGGCCATCCTGGACACCGGCACCTCGCTGCTGGGCGCGCCGCGCCAGGCCTGGGCGTTCAGCAAGCGGCGGGGTTAGCTGCGGGGTTAGCTGCGGGGTTAGCTGCGGGGGGGTGGGAGGGGTGGGGGGAGGGGCTCAAAATGGAACAGCTTTTGGCTTTTTGTGTGCCAAGACGCAATTTTTTCACGGCCAGTTTTGGAGCCACGGCCAGATTTGCCGGGGCTTGGGGGCTTGGGGGGGAAGTTGAGGAACAGCTCGACCCATTGGTTCTCCCCCGCTCCCCTTTCCATCAGCCACCCAAAGGCGGGCCCTTTGGGTTCCCGAGCGAGCCTTTTGGATACTCTCAGCATCAAAGAGGGGTGAAATACGTAGCGGATGGACGAGATCCCTTTGGCACCGTTCAGATACACTGGAATGACTTGATTCCCCCTGCAACAAGCAACGGTGTCCCATGGTTTCAAAGTGGTGCGAAATGGATTTCGTCCATCCGCAGTACGTAAATTGGGCAAATCAGGGTCGGCCCAACCTCAATGTCCAAAAACGCCGCGTGTTTCAATCAACGAAGGGGCTACGAGGGCTCGGATCTTTTTCAACACAACATTTGTTTTGTGGTTGTCAGAGGTTTCAACAACTGAGCGCCCAACACCCTCGTTCCTACCTGGTTTCATGGGGACAGGACCGAACGATTCCATGGCGTCTGAAAATACGGAACCCCTTTTAAGGGATCAAGGTGGGACACCAGCAGGACATCAACCCCGGAAGCCAGTGGCTTCCGTAAGGCCATCAAGACGCTGCACTCCCTGCTGTCGCGGAATGTGCTGGTGGCGCCCAAGGGCATTGGTCAAGGAGAAGGCCGGGAGTACCGGGAGTGAGCGTGAGCCTATGATTTGCAGCTTGGTTCAACGGGACGTCGCCAGGAGCCACCCCCGTTGGTTTGTTGTTTTTTGGTGCGGCGTTGCCCTGCTTTGAACCCATGCCCGGCCCAGCTGATTTCTTGGAGTCTTATGTTTTTCTTCTTTTTTCTTTTTTTTCTTTTCCGATTTGTTTGCAACGTTCCCACTTTGCAACAAAACTGGGTTGGTCGTGCCCGTATGGGTGTGGCGTTCTAGGATTTGGTTTTCTAAATGGTGGGTTTTCGTCCCCAGTGGAGCCATTCTGAAAAGGGTGACCCTTTCCTCCATACTGTGGATGGACGAAATCCTGCACCACTTTGAAACCATGGTAAACCATTGTTTGTTGGTATTTACATGGGAATAGTCATTCTAGGGTTTCTTGGGTGGCGCGTTGCATGGATTGCGTCCATCCACAGTACCTTTGGAGGAATGGGAGGGTAGGTCTGTAGCGGGGGGGCCTTTGGATTCGGACGTCTCGCCCGAAGATTCTTGCAACTTGGGATGTTTCAGGGACTCCCGGCGAATCCTGGACAGTTCGAGACCGGGAAGCCTACAAACTCGCGAGAGCCAAGCCACTTTCTTTTGGAGGGGTGCAGGTGCCCCCCCCAAACCCCAAAAATCGCAAACACACCAACAGCAACCTGCAAGAAAAGGGTGCCCCGTGTTGTTTCTTCGTGAACATTTTCCACTTGAGGTTTGGTGGAGGTGTTCAGGTTCCCCCCCAAAAAACACAACAACAAATAAGCAACAACAATAACGTCCCATCCCCCATCCCCCCCCCCAATAAAAAAGGAAAGAAAGAAAGAAAGACGAAAAATAAGCATGACCCCCCCCCCCCTCCCCCAAAAAAAACAAAACCATCATAACAAATCAAGAGAAGTAAAAATAAGACAACAGCCCCGTGAAGTTCCACTTGGAGCGCTCCACTTTGGTCTCCGAGTCCCACTCCGCCAGGATTTGTGGCGCAGGAGGAGGCCGACGAGGCGCTCGCCCGAGACTGCCGCATGCAGGCGACCGCCGCGGATCGGATGGATCGGGCGGTCGAATCGGGCGGTCGGTTTTTGCGGGGATTTCGACTTTTTGACCAAAGGGTAGACAAGACCCCCAGGGATGAAGCAAAAGGAACCTTATCTTAAGGAAAAAGAACCTCCATTCGCCAAGAAAGGGAACAAGGCCCACTTTCGCCAAGAGAGCCGCTGCGGCGGACGCATCGAGGAGGGTCTGAAGCTCACCTTCGACCTGGGGCCCACTGTGCCGGGCATCGTCCTGGACGCCGAGGACGCGGATGCAGGGCGTGCCGTTCTTGCGCGTGGCGCTCTTTTTTTGGGAGGTGCTTGTGGGGGTAGCCTGTAAGCAAGCATTTGTGGGATCCAAACTTGCATGCTGCATGTGTGTGCGTGTGTTTTGGTTCTGTCAAGTTGCTTCCCTTTGCGCCTTAGTCAGCAAGGGGAGCCGAAAGGGAAAACAACAGTTGGGTTGTCAAGAGCATGGGCATCCTCAAATTGAAGGCGCCCCCGCAAAGACCCCGATTTTCCACAAAACATACCCAGCCCCAGGCTGGTCGCAAAAAAATCGGCTCAAGCAAGCCGCAAGCCGGGCCCCGAAAGGCCTGAGAGGAAACCGGGGCAACACGTGGTTTAGATGGAATCAGGTGACAAAACTAGATCCATCATGTTGAACTCGAGGTTCCCAAAAGTTCTAAAGGAGCTTCGAGCTCTTGTGGTTTTAACATTGTGTCCTTTTTGATGGTGCTCTTTTTTTGTGGGTTTCAGGGGGTTCCCCAAAGACCACCATTTTGGGGGTAGAAAAGACACGCCACGCTATTGACGGGCTTGGGCCAAGTCTCGGGACCGCTTTGGTTTTCGACTAGCGGCTTTGGTTCCGAAGGCTTTCCAGGGATTGGTCCCAAGCGTTCTTTTCCACCATCGTTCTTTTCGGGGAGAACGGACAAAAGAAATACGGGACGTTGTATTTTGTTTCCTGAAACGAAGATCCCTGTAACCCCCCTGTAAACAGAAATGCGGGCTCCCTTCAGCGGGATGATGTTAAGGAACAAGGAGTCCTTTGCGGGAAGCTCTTCGGAAAGACCCATGGCGAGTCTCGGAGTCTCCTTGAGTCTCCTTCGATTCGGAGGGTTGGAAGGGGGGGGCGATGTGGCCCCGATAAGGATCCTTTTCTTGGGGATCAGATTCGGATTTCAGGTTTTGGACATTTTGTTTCAAAAAGTAAATAAAACAAATGCAGGTGGATATTTTTTGTTGTTCGTTGGTATTTGCAAGTCCTATGGATCTCATGAGATAAGGATTGTTTTTGTCAAAAAATAACAAACCTAGTCTAGAATATGTGAACAAGGTGCCCTAATTGATGCTCAGCTGTGTGTTTTAGTATTTGGTAAGAGGCGGGCCCCCACCTACGACAAGCATATATCACCTTTCCACGAATGGGTGGTCTGGATGGTTTGGATTTGGATTCGGATTTGAACCCCTGGTTCTTGCGGACTGCAACTGCGAAACCGCTCAACCACCGGGCTCCAAACCCTCAAGCTACAGCTCACCTAGTGCCTTTCGCCCAATTGAGAAACCTTGGCACGCTTCGAAATCGGAGGTGAGCACCGATTTCCAGCTTTGCGTCGGTTTGGAGCCAAAGGTGCCTTTGTGGCCTGTTTCAGGATGGTTCAAAGGGACACCAGCAGGAAAGAAGCGAAGCCGTTTTGGGGCCCCAAAAACGAGTTCGACGATACCCGTATTCCTTGCTGGTGCGGCAGTTTCTGTGCTTCGCAAGGACTACTTCCGGCCCAAGCCGTTCAACATGACAGCCTCGCCCTCGGCTACGCAACCATGGGCGCTCGCTTCTTTCCGTCCTTGCCAGCGCCCCACTTGCCCCCGTCCGTGCAAACAAGCTTCAAGACCAAGCAGAGGCACGCCACCATTTGGAGTAGGAGTCTGGGACACCTGTCGGAGTAAATAGATGCGAGTTTCAAACCCTGCCCAGCCACTTTGGTCTCCCAAGGTTCGTGCAGTTTGATCACTCAAGGGCACGCATGAATCCCCCATACCGCCGCCCTCCCAAAAGAAAAGCAATCTTTCTGCTGAGGAGTCCTTCAATTTCCTTTTTTTGGACCGAAAGTGGCGATCGTTTCTTTTTGACCTCACCATGGGGTGGGGTGTGGGGTGGGGGGGTGTGGGGTGTGGGGTGGGGTGTGGGGTGGGGTGGGGTGTGGGGTGGGGTGGTGTGTGGGGTGGGGTGTGGGGTGGGGTGGAGTGGTTGGGTTGGGTTGGGTTGGTTGGTGTGGTGCCCAACCCTAAATTTTGAGCTATATCCCAAACATTGCCCATTGAAGGCCAGTGAGGCCCATCAGAAAATTCTCAAGGCGCCCAGGCTGCGCAGCATTTTGCTTGCCACTTGGGCAGCGCGGCCTGTTGTTTGGACGCGGCCTTGCTTAAGTTAGTGCCTCAGCATGTGTGGGTTCCTGGTTTCGCGGCACTGAGATATGCCTCTTTTGCCTCTCGGTTGAGAATGGCCTTCTCTCTGCCCTTGGCGGCCCATCTACTGGAATCTTTTGAATGTGGTCCATCAGGTTCTCCCTTGTAGGTGAATGCAATGGATGTGCGGACCTTAGCAGAATCAAATAGTGCTAACAAGCAGGAGTCCTCGATGCCATTATAGGAACGAATCTTTGCATTTCTTTTGAAAACACGCGGGGCAAAAAGAAGACTTCCATCATGTTCTCGTTGGAGCGGTCAGTGGTGGGTGGGTGGGGTGGGGTGGGGTGGGGTGGAGTGGGGTGGAGTGGGGGGGGGGGGTGGAGTGGGGTGGGGGGTGGGGGTGGGGGGGTGGAGTGGGGGGGGGGAGGTGAACTGCGAATTGATTTTGTAGTCTGACAAATGGAGCCCTGTCCACATGGTCGGGTGACAGCCACATCTTGGCGCCTTCTTTTTTTTTCAAAAAGAAATCTTCGCTGGGGGAAGCCTGTTCCATTGCACCCCTTGAATGTGATGGGGCACGTCCTTCCCTCCATGGTGAAATATATATATATATATATATTCTTGGGGGGGGGGCACTCGCAATTTTTCTGCGGATGTCCACCTGGGAGGTGAGCTTTCGGCCTCTCGAGACTCTCCGCTTTGAGGTGCCGGAGGCGGAGAACCCGGAGGCCTGGAAGCTGACCTGCCGGTCGCTGCTGCTGCCGCTGGACCTGCAGGCGAGCCGAAGGGCACGAGACCAGCGGACGCCGCGCCATTGGGCGCGGGGTCCGGGGTCAACTTGGGTTTGTTGAGTAATTGGGCGGGTGTCCATGTTGAGCCACAGGGGAAAGCTTTTGTTGATTGAAATAGGTGGAATCCTGAGTGTGCTTCAGTGTAGTGGCTTTTTGAGTTGGTTTCGTGGGTGTCCATTGCCGAGTGTCTTGAACCAAGTTGAGTTGCAAATAGTATGGCAAGGATCATTTTTGGGTTGGATCATCAAGCCTTGACGCTAAAAACACCTCACAACGCTGGTTGGCAGCTCTGGCGCTGTGGCCGCGAGCTCGCAGGCGCCGCTGGGGCCCAAGACCTTCATCCTGGGCGAGCCCGTGCTGAGGCGTGGACCAAGCGCGATCGCACCGTGGAGCCGTGGCTGAAACGAAAACTTTGGCGCGAATTTTGCCAAGGGATGTTAGGACTGAACAACTTTTTGATCCAACTAGTGGGTTTTCCGTATTAAACCACTAAAACATAAACTTTTAGCAGGGGAGCAGAAAGCAACCGAGAAAGCGTTGTCGTCGGTATTTACGTTGGGGAATTGAATCATAGACCGTTGGGCTTCTTAACGGCGGTGCGAAACGGATTTGGAGTTCGCAAGCGTCCACAGTATCTCAGTTGCCCGAAGCGAATCGAACTGTTGAGCTTTTGCTTTTCCCATGTTTGATGCATGTTTAGTGGAGGCGCCTTAAAAGGGTTTTCCTTTTGTTTTCAGGTCCTTTGGGCAAGTGAGGTACAGTGAGTGACAATCAGTTGGCACGTGGAGCCCCAATTCTGGCCCTCACATTCTTTTTGGGAAATCGCCAAAAGTGTGCTAGCTAACTGTACCTATTGGTTCCTCACTATAGACCCTTTTGGGCTGTTTCTGGCTTCCAATGGTTCCCATGTTTTCTCACAAACCCAGGAACTGAGAGGATTGCTAAGACGGCAGAACATCCAGGGCCTGAGGCTGCTGTTGGGGCTCCGAAAGTTCTGTCATGTGGGAAACCCCCAGGGGCCAACCCAAGGTTTAACACGGGAACCGAGCTACGCAGATGGGCATCTTCCCTGATTCTTTCTAGGGATCCTTGGTTTCCGAACATCAACACAAGCTAGGGGGCAACAGGGAACCGTCAGCGGTATTGAAAAGAACGAGGATTGAACAGGCTAGGGAGTTGACCCCAAGAATGCAAGGAGGACCCTTTAGTTGGTTCCCTGTCCGCAGCGCCATGCTCCGCCTCGCCCTCTCTGCTGCACTTTTCTGCGTCTCAGAGGCAGCTCTGGTGGCACTCGTGACGGGCGCAAACAAGGGAATCGGTCGAGAGATTGCCCGCAAACTGGCCTCAGTCGGAATCACCGCCATCATCGGATGCCGCAACTTGGAGCTGGGCCGTGCGGCCGCCGAGGAGCTCGCGAGTGCTGGTGACGTTTTCGTCCAACGCTTAGACCTGACCGACAGCAGCAGCATCGAGGCCACGCGTGCATTCGTGGAGGAGACCTTTGGCAAGCTGGACATCCTCGTGAACAATGCGGCCGTTTGCTTCAACGACCCAACGCTCTACGGCAAAGTGCGGTACACGCCCTTCGAAGACCAGGCGGCCATCACCATCGCCACCAACTTCTTCGGCACGCTCGAGGTGACGCAAAGGATGCTGCCGCTCCTGCGTGCCGCCCCGTCGCCGCGGGTGGTCAACATTGCGAGCTCGGCCGGGCGCTTGCGCGGCTCGCAGTCCAAGGTGGAGGCGCTCACTGCGGCCGACCTGAGCGTCGGCCGCCTGGAGGCCCTGATGCGCGACTTCGTGCGCGACGCGGAGGCCGGCGAGCACGTCGCGCGCGGCTGGCCCAACACGTGCTACGGCGTCTCGAAGATGGGGCTCATCGCGCTGACGCGTGTCTTGGCGAGGGAGGAAGCGCGGATGATGGTGAATGCCGTGGACCCTGGCTATTGCCGCACTGACCAGAACGACGATCAAGGGCCCGTGCCCCCGAGCCGCGGTGCCAGCACGCCCGTTCTGCTGGCCACGCTGCCGCAGGAGCGGAGGGTCAGTGGCAAGCTGTTCTACGAGGAGCGTGAGATCCCGTGGGCTTACGGACAGTGAGGCACCTCTGAGCCTGGGGGGTCCTTCCCAGCCTTTCGGGTGGTTTGGGCGAAGGAAATCACGTCGCCGGAGGAAGGTGACTTTCTTGGGCTGGCGAATCATCTGGGGCGAATTGCGGACATGCGTGCCTAAAGCGAGCTTACTCATCCAAATCTTCTTGGGGCAAAGGCAAGGTTCGATTGCTTTGCTAAAAGTCACTCAGAGTTGGGTAGGTGAAGGCCCGCAGGCAGGCGTGCATCTCAGATCTCTGAAGACCTCTGGCTGGCTTTCCCTTTCTTTGAGGGGGCCATTTTTACAAAAACAATTTGAGTCGACCACAGTCTTTGAGTTGACCACTGTCTTTTCTTTCTACAAAAACAGCAAATCCAAAAAGGGAGGCCCCCTTTTGTTCCGATGGAAATTCACCTTCGGTTTCGGGCGCCCCCACCGCACTTTGCGGTGCATGGCATGCTTGAAGTTGGATTACTGGGACATCTCCAGTACTTAATGTGGACCACTTTTGCAGAGCCCCCACCCCCATATTAATAAATTTAATGCACGTTTATCAATCCGGGGTCAACCTCACCCCTCCCCCCCAGACCTCCATGCCAAAGAAGAACGGGCAAGGTGCGCCTTGCGAAGGCTTTTCTCGAGTCCTTGTAGCTACTCTCCACTGGCTGAATAGTTTTATTTTCCCCTGTTGGTTTTAGCAGGAAGCGATCACTACTGGACATATTTGATTTTTTCCGGGGGGCTTAAGCAACAAGCTGGGATGAGACGCCCTTGGCCTTCTTAACTGGGACCTAAGTTTCGGGGTGTTCTGGGAGGCCCGTAAACGCGGATCTTGGCTTTGCCCGGATTCTGTGGAAGGTGTAGCCACTGGATCGCCAGTTGCGATCGCTTTTTTCCATGAACTTTACCCCAAAAACCGGCCACAGTGACTGAAAAAAACGATCGAAACTTGGCTATCTAGTCTAGACAGGAACATTTGCAAGGAGTCTTGAACTCTCAAGCTTGGCATCTGCGTTGTTGAGCGCTTCACAACCTCATGGACAGAGGATGTCCACCAAAGAGTCCGCTTAATTTGGGGTGGTTCTCACCCGTTAACCACCATAGCTTGCCTAAGGATTGTCATCATCCAAGTTGGGTCAACCTTTCTTTTAATGGGGGTTGGACCCTAGTGGTTGGTTGCCGGTTTCGGTTTTTGCTCAAAAGCTCCCTACTTCTAGGCAGCTTATTTCTCCGCTTGGTGCCAGGAAATACTACACCATCTACGCCTGGGCCTTGGTTGTCAGGTTGCGGGCCAAACTTTTTTGCATGCGCTTCGCTTTTTTCTTTTTTTGAAAACCTCGCCTTTCGGGGTCCAAGCTCAAGGTGAGTTTTTGATGATGCCGACGACAGTAGCGAGTGGTTACATGATGCTGGCAAAGACAGGAAGTGGTCGGTGTCCAAAATTGGGATTTGAAGGCTGGTCTCTTCTCCGCAAACGCCAGGGGTGTTTTGGAAGGTCAACTTCAAGAGAAGTCTCGCTTGGCATGACCCACTTTTCCGGGCCAACAGCTCATAGGGGTATGTGTCAAAATGGGGGGGGGGGGGGGCAAATGGTGGCTTGCTGTTTTTTCTGGTACCCCTCAAGAATCACAAGACCTGTTTGGCTTACTCAGGTGGCAGACAAAGATGCGAGGGTAGGGACAAATGGGATGAGCTGTTTGGAGTTGGTACCCTGTTTGGGGATTGCTTGAAAGAGAGGTGGAAAGGGCACGACTCCCGTTTCAGAAGCTCCCCCAAAATTTGGAGACATACCCACAGGCATCCTTAGGGTTTGTGGGGATGGTCATGAACACCCTAATCTGTTTTTCAGACAGGCGTCATATTTCTGTAGATGGTGGCTTTGCTATTGATTTTCCTTGCGGCACATTCATGATCATTTTTCTGGGTCTGTCATGGACCCGCCCGCAAAAAAAGAAGTGCTCTTCCTTGGGTTTACCTGTTGATTTGCACAACAAGGATACCCTCACCCGTATGGGCGTGCCTTTTTTTTAGAGGACCCCCAAAAGTAACCGCCACCAATGACGAGCCACCCATATGGTATTTTAAACTGGGGGAACAAGTATGGGCTTCGGCGTGCCTTGAGTTCCCAACAAATGACCGCCCAATCAAGAATCACGCCCTATGAGTGATGCCTTTTGATTGGCATTTGGGGAAACCAACCAAGAAACCAAGAAGATAAAAGGGGATTCCAACATTTTGACTGCTCCCCCCCCCCCCCCCCCCCACCCCCCCCCCCCCACCCACACGCTCCGCGCGCCAAAGCGCATCGGCACGGAAGGACTGGGCCTCGCGGCGGGTGGGCTTTGCGCAGGCGGATCACAGCCAGGACCGCTGCTCGGATCCGCGGTCGTAGCGGCCATCAGCGGCCGTCGAGCGGGCGATTTCCTGCGGACACTTTTTCAGGGGACATCCTCGGATTCGATCACTTGGGGTAAACCGCTACTTGTGTTGCTGGTGTTTGTGTGTGTATACATATATATATATATATGTTCCAGTCTTCCTTGGCCCCCACCCCCACCTCCCCCAATGGTCATGCTCAGTCAAGAAGGTAGCACAGTGTAACCGTACAACCTCCTGTGGGATGGGTGGGGGGTCCATGGTTCTCACCCGCCCCCCTGTTAGAAGGTAGCACGGTTTCGTACAAGCCCCTGCCCCCCCTGTCGGATTGGGGGGGCGGCGGGGTCCATGGTTCAGTGGGACAGCACATTGTTCCCCCCCCCCCCGCCCCTGGATGGACCCATACCATTGGGGGGGGGAGGGGGGGGGGCTGGGGCCGACGGGCGACGGGAACATATATATATATATATATTTTTCTTGTTTGTTTGCCAGGTGCTTCGGGGGCCAGATTCCAATTCTGGATGCTGGCAACCTCCATTTTTCTCCTCCCTGCCTTCCCTCCCCCTCCGTCGTGGGAACCGTATCCAAGTTTTTCTGAGTTCCGGAAGGACACGGACGATGCTTGGAGGGGACATCGGTTCCCGTGTTTTCCCATTGGGAGTTGGACCGTGTTTGCTGCGCACAATCCATTTGCCGCTGATGTTAAGTGGTTTGCAACCCGGTCATGACCCACAGAGGTATAACCCAATATACCCTCTACTCCAAGAACCTTTAAAAATAAAGGATGCAAACGAAAAACCTGGCTTTGAGCCTGTTGCTTACCGAAAACAGGGTTTTCCAACCGAAAACCCGGTTTTACTTTTAAAATCCCATACAAAAGCCATACAAAACCCGTACAAAACCCATACAAAACCCGTACGTTTGTATGCTTTTCATAAAACCGGGTTTTCCTGCGAAGAACCCGGTTATTTTCGAGAACCTTTAAAATAAAAGGTTCTTGGAGTAGAGGGTACTAACCATTTTCCCGCTCCAATTCCAGTTGGAAGACAGGAGGTGATCCAGAACGGGGACCTACAACAGGGGCAGACGCGCTTGCTGAGTAGCCGATCGCTCTCTCATGCACGCAGCAACTTCCCCACCCAGTTGATACATCACCCCTGATTTTGCTCGGGGGGCATCCCTGCTCAGTGGGGATTATGACAACTCCGGGCGGAGTTTCGCTCCTCCCCCTTGTTTATCTGCCAGGTTCTCTCCAACTGGGGGGTCAGCGCTAGTAACCAGCGAGCAACACCTGTGGAAGGGCCTCTAAGTTTGGCCGATGCCGGTAGGGGTGCAGCTCAGAAACTGGTTGCGTTGTTTCTGTACCCTACCACTTGCGCACTTGTCTTTGCTTCATCTTTGCGCATGTGCATCTTTGCGCACGCGCGCGCACGCATGCGCACGCATGCGTGCCTGTGTGTCAGAGCGCCAGGGAAGCCTCGCAGGTGAGAAGGACGCGAAGAAGAAGCTTGCGACATGCATGCGACCTGAATTTTTGAAAGACACACAGAGATGCATGAGTGCCAAAAGCGCCGAAACTCGTTGAGCGTTGGAATGGGGCACACCTGGGAGGTGTGAGAAGCAGTTGGATGGGTGCGCCATTGAGCCATGTCGCGAACATGTGGGTGTGGGTCGACAATAGCTACCCCAAAATTCCAACCTGGCAAGTGGAATCAAGGGCCAAAGCCTGCGGTCCGGTGTAAGAAGCAGTTGGAAGAATGGCTTACCATTGATCTAAGGGTAGCTTCTCCATTCTTTGCAGGGGCCCTTCTTTCTAGAAAACCGCCAAAAACCCTGGGAAAACGGATCTGGTTGTTGAAGAGAAGGATGGTTGAACAGAATGGACAAGGAACCAAGCCCTTGCCATTGAGCGACGCGTCATGTGTCGACTGACCTTCCAGGACGAGGAGGTGGACGGCGCCAGCGCCATCGGCACCCCGGAGGAGCTGGGAAACGGCCCGAATTCGGCTCGGTCGAAAACGTCCCAGAAGTCCGGCAAACGGAAACCACCCACCACTAAACAATGGTTTCATGCTGGACTTTAGACTTTTCGGGTCTGGACCATTTTTTAGTTGCAAGCAACAGGTCCAGACTTTTTCTGGCCGCCATTCCACTTGATCGGAAGTGAGTTTGGTTCTGGACGAAGCGGAAGAAGATCTTGAAACAAAAAGAAAACCGTTCAAGAAAAGGTCGGCCTTGGCTGGAAAACTGGTCCAGACCTGGTGATCTTTTCAATTTGGATGGTTAAGGAACAGATTGGCCCACGCGTGTGTGGCGCACTGGCCGGGCTGGGTTGTTCCTTCCTTTCTTCAGGCCCTGGTGCGAGAGGGAAGGAGGGAACGAACCAAGTCCCCTGAAAGAACCCCCCAGCTCAGGGATGGTCGTTTCTGGGGGTCATTCCAGCTCATTCCCTGCCGAGCGCCGGCAAGTTTCCTTCGGGCCCCGCCGAACCCCCACAAAAATGGCAGGGCTCCTGAACAGAAATTCATGTTGCAAGCATTTGAAAACATGGCTTTTTGAACACCGGAATACAGAAATGGACACCACCATTTACAAGTTGCAATGTTCAGGTGTATAAGGTAAGGATCCTTGACTGGGTACTACAAAAAGCAATGGTGCTCCACTCCGTTAAGGTTTGACCGGGCGTAGGCGGGTCGGTTGGCTTGGCAATCAGAGCGGCGCAAGGAGGGCTCGCTGGTGGCAGGCGCCCCGCTTAGCAAGAAAGGCTGGGAATCGCAGGGGTTGCCCTTTTGGTTGTGACGTCGAGTGTGTTTGTGTGTGTGTGTGTGTTTGCTTGCTTGCTTGCTTGCTTGCTTGCTTGCTTGCTTGCTTGCTTGCTTGCTTGCTTGCTTGCTTGCTGCTTTGTTTTGCTTCTCTTCGCTTCGCTTCGCTTCGCTTCGCTTCGCTTCGCTTCTCTTTGCTTTGCTTGACATCGCCGGGTCCGGCCCGTACCCGCTGGAGCGGTTTTCGGAGTCTCAGAATTTCAGACGCGGGCTTCGGGGTTCCCTCCACTTCGCCCGCTTCAAAAATATCCGAGGAAGTTCATTCATCCATGGGCGTGCCCTTTGTTAGCCCCCCCCCTCCCCGAAATGGTTTCGCTGTCAAACCACCGAAAACAGGGGGTACCTTTTAAAACAGACACACTCCCAACCCAGCTTCTCCCCCCCCCCTCCCCTTCCAAAAATTGTTTCCTTTTAGAGCCACAGCCAAAGTGGTACCCTCGAAACCATGGGCGTTTTGTTTTTTAGACCCCCCTCCCCGCAATGGGGAAACCCTTTCGACTAAAAAGAAAGGCAACCCTCCAACTCAACTTTGGCTTTGTCCGACACCTGGCGTGCTATGATGCCAGGCCGGGAGGGCCTCCAGGAGATCTAAGGATCGCGCGAGCGGGCGGGCGAGAAAAAGCAGCGCGGAGGGGGGGGGTTGATCAATAGTCCCTTCGGCCTTCCGGTTGGGACCAGGGGCAACTTTTCCCATGTGAATATCATCTTTGTGGTGGTTGTCGAATCAATGGGTCATGTGAATAGCATCTTACTAGTGGAAAGCCACGAATGGGTTATGTGAATATCATGGTTTTCCGACCAATTGTCATCCCATGAGAACCTTTTTTGATCAACCCCCCAAATGTGTCTGGCGCAGGGTGAGGGCAGGGTCCGCCCACTTGTTTTCTTCCTATTTGATGGCGAGCTTATATATGTATGAATACATTGTATAAGTATATACATAATATATATATATATATGATATAATCTATATACACAAAAGTTTGCAAACAACAACTCGCCAGTGCCCCTTTAAGACAGGGTTTGAGCAATTTTTACTTGGCACCTCTTTGGCTTCCGTTTTTTGGGACTGCCAAGGCTTGTTTTTGTCACCTTTAAACGGGCACAAGGGTCCAGTGACCAACATGTTCCACTTGCAAGCCTTAGACCTTGGTCCGACAAATCCTTTATAGTCCCAACACCCTGACTCCGTCCACCAACTTCGCCATGTATCTTCGATTTGCTTTTGGCTGTCTTTTTTTCTGGGGGGGGGGACGTCTGAAAATGTAATTTGCATGTTCGCCCCCCCTCCCCCCCCCCCCAAAAAAAAATAAAGAAGAAAGAAAACTAATGAAAGGGTTTGGCTTCGGTTTTCTTCGTGAAGCTGAGCCGATCCCCGGTGGTTTAGCCACCGAGCCAAGGCGTGGACCGCAGCCGCTTCGCCTCAGAGCTGCACTGGGCGCCCGCCAGGGGTCCCAGGGCTGGGGAGGTTTAGATACAACATGTAACATCTATATCTCTATATATCTATACATACATATATGTATACATACATATGTATATATATATATATCAAACAGTAAAACACAGTTAACAATTAGAACAGGATAGAAATGTAGATCATGGGGGGTGACCATATATATATATATATATTTGTATATATTGGGTGGGTCTGTAAAAAAATGGTGGCTCCACCCCTTGTCGAAAAAATGGGGGGCTCCCCCTTTGGTTGGTCTTTCAAGGGGAAGAAACATAGGGTTGGCCTTTCGAGGGACATACATAGGAAAATAACTGTTTTAGTACCCATATGAATAGTCCTGTAGCACCTGAGGTTTGGGGATGAGTTTGAGTTCGTGAAGGGGGCATCCCACATTGCAACAACTTTGTACAGAACAATCCGGGGGAACTCCCCGTCATTCCAACCAGGCCCCCTTGCACCCCTTCAATTCTGTACAGCTGGTTTCGAGCATGCGGGTTGATGAGAAGGTCCTTGGCGAGGTGCATAAATAGATTCCAACGCAACTTAGGATGGTGGGCAAGCCAGAAAAATAGATGGCGATTCCTGGTTTACCTGGTGGTTTAATCCGGGAAATCCATCTATTTCCAACCTAACAGAGCACCTATGGTTGGGCAAGCCAGATTTTGTTCACAGCTCGGCCGCTGGAATGAAAGGCAGGGATGCACGCCTTGAGTATTCAGGACCAACCTTGGGACATCAAGTCTGGGGATCCTTGTGGGCCGAATATCTCAGTCAGGCGTAGACAAGTGATACTGTGGTTGGACGAAATCCTGCACCACCCAAGAAACCCTAGAATGATGATTCCCCTGTAAATACCAAGAAACAATGGTTTCCCATGGTTTCAAAGTGGGGTCTACGCAAGTGATATTATGACAGGGATAAAGGATGAAGAGAAATGGCAAGATCAGATTGACTGGCAAAGGCTTACAGTCGGTAGAAATATTTTGTATGCTTCACAATCCTGCTCTTTCCCGCTCCAAATGCATCAGAACAAAGGACGTGGGAGCTGGTGCCATCTCTTTCTCCCGCATACCCACTCACACTGTCCGTTTGTTTGCGGAGAGATGACAGTGGACAAGGGACCCAACCCTCCATTCCCTTTTCTCTTCATCTCATCGCCAGCGATTTACTTGAAAGTAATCTCATTTACCTTACTGCTATTGGGTTGGATCTTCAGACTTTGACTTTTTGGTTGAAATCAATGGGTTTCCACTAAACTCCCCAAAAAATTGAACTTTTTGCAGGGGGGTCAACAGCAACCAAGATACAAGCTAAATGGAGTGAATTTGATGGAGAAGAGAAGGAATGGAGAAAGAACAAATCAGCCGTCAATTCTATATCCCAGGAGCGACATTAGAAGAAGGAAGGGATACGAAAGCGATGCTTGGATGTGTCTCTTTCTATCTCTGTATCTCCTCTCATCCATTCATCTCTCTCATTCTTGTTCCACATCCTAAAGTCATTCCAGCGAGTGAAGGGAGTGATAGAGCGATGAGTTTGTTTGGGTTGGCTTCTACCGTACATGGGTCCTTGACAAACGTCGAATCATTTCCATTTTACGAGGTTCGGTCAAAACATCATGTCCATTGGGGTAGACCTGGGAGGCGCACTAAATTTGACCCGAGACTATTGGACTCGCTCAATTTCCCGATGGTTTTTGCAGGAAGCAAACCTCACTTGAAGACACACCTGCAAGTCCTACGGCTGGGAAGTCCGTGGCTTTTGGGCCTCTTCTTGGTTTGCTGTCCGGCTGACAAACGGATGACACCCTACTATGAATACTTGGCACCATAGGTGTCTTTTTTGGTTGCTTTGCTAGAACAATAGATGGCGATTCCTGGTTGACCTGGTGGTTTAATCATCTACCAGGGCCATCTATTGCCCCTGAAAGGACGCCTATGCTTGGCACCTCCCGACTGCTCGACAGCAAGTAGCGAGCTGCGGTTCCCTCGCCATGGCTTTGCTTCCGGAAGACCCCGGAAGCTCAGAGAGAGTTCCGGAGGATCCAAATGGCCGTGGCTCAAAATGAAAGAGGAGGGGCTGGCTCCCCAGAAGCCAATTTTGGAATTCCGTTTTTTTTGAATTCGCCACAGCCAAATGTAAGACCTCCGAATCCGACTCGGTGTGGAGAAGCGGCCGCGATCGCGGCCTGGGAGAGGTGGCGAAGCCGCAGCACGGGCACTGGCAGCTGGCGGTGCGGAGTATCCGCGTGGGCGCCGGGACCTCGGTGGGGAGGGTGGGGTTTTTGGTGGGTGATGGGGGTGGACCAGTGGAGGGCTGAAAGCGAAATCCGAGACTTCGCGCCACAAAATGAGGTGCCATGGGAATGACACCATGAGGCTTCTTGGTATTTGCGGGGAATCGCATCATTCCCTTGGGTTTCTTAGGTGGCGCGAGATGGATTTCGCAACCATCCACAGTAGGGGGACATTGATGTTTTTTTTGTTTAAAGGTGTCAGTTTTCTGTGGTGGTAGTGTCAGTTGGTCAGCCGAACCTCGGAACTCTCCAGCGAAGACGCTTTCCGGCGTCGCTCCATTCAGTACACGCCTTTACCTCACTTTGTTTTGGGGGGCTCCTTAAAAGATACATTTTGCAAACAAAAATGAAACATGGCTTTTTCAACACCAAACTAAAGAAATGGAAACCTCGATTTACAAGGCAATGTTCAGGTGTATAATGTAAGGGTCCCTGTTTTGGGGGGCTAGTGGTTTGTGGCAATTTCTCTCAGGCAGTCGACTGGGTTCGTTCCGCGCTCGCCAAAGCCATGATCCAACTGCGAGCGAAAGTGGCGGTCGGTTCACTGGAAACCGCCAGTCGTTTGCACTTTTGACGGGGGGCAATCCAGTGATCCCATTTGGAGGGAAATTTTGAGGATGTCACCTGGACTAGTCAAACGTTGCGTTTTGTCTCCGAAACGGACATTTGTAGGTCATCCTTCACCGCATTGATCTTGTGAATCGTTTGGACCTTCTTGTTCTTTTTTGTGCAGACACACACACACAAAGATGACATACTTGTATATAGACTTCCCTTTTGGAAGGATCAACAATTGTTTCAGCAAGTTTCAAATGGTGCATGGTTTGGGTGAGTGATTTGGCTATGGATTGAGATCGATGAGGAATGCTCAAATGTGTGGACTAAAATTCCCCCAATGGTGTCCACCAAATGGGTTCACCCAAGTTTGGATCAGTTGGATTCAGTTGCTGCCGCAAACATGCATGACAAACGAATGGGTGACCAAATCAATCAATAATTCTCCTCTTTCCAGCAATAGCTGACAGGGGGCTTCCCCCTGAAGAGAGAGCAGTCCTCAACACTTCCTGTCTCTCAGGTCCACGTCCCTTCCAAAAAGGTACTTCTCCTTAACCCCAAAAAAGCTATCCTTAGGCACTTGGCCTTTGGGTTGGTAGAGCTATTC